TCTCTCTCTCTCTCTCTCTCTCTCTCTCTCTCTCTCTCTCTCTCTCTCCATAGACTATTAGTGGGATTTGCACTACCTAGTAAACCTCAGAGAAATTATTTGCACACCAAGGATGTTTTGCCAACCTCTGTCTTTTCCAGGAACATAAATCTGAAATTGTGGTTTGAATCGGGGAAACCTGATTATTCTTCCGCTCCCTCCTCTTCCCTTCCACCCTTCCCTCTTCCCACTTTTCACCATGCTTCTCTTCTTTCCCCCATTCTTCTTTTTCTTTCTTCTTCCTTCTTCCTTCTCTTTCACCCTTCCTGTGAAACAGGGTCCAGATTTGTCTCAAACTCTATTGTCTCGACTGCCAGAGTTCTAGGGTGATAGGCATGAGGCACGGATTGGACTTTGACATTCAGTTGTTTGTCAGGAGCGGTGGAAGATTGAGACGAGGACTCACCTAGTCCAGCTGGCCTCAGACTTACTATGTAGCCAAGGATGACCCTAAATGTGATCCTCCTGCTTCTACCTCCCAAGAGCTGGGTTTATAGGTGAGCAATGCCAAGCCCAGGTTTTGAGATTTGATTCTTGACTATCATCCAGGCCTACAAACTGCACATAACTTTGTCCTATGGTAAGAAAACACATCACACCTTGTCTTATAGCTTGGCTGTTTCTGTACTTGTCCGATCAGATTATAAATCTTGAAAACCTCACCTTATTTAGCCTTTAATCTTCTACATACTAAATTGCACACGTTAAATTACCAACCAATGTCCAATGTAAGCTTAATGAAATTCCTTAACGAACTTTAATCACAATTTTTTGAGACAGTCTCACCTTGCAGTTTAGGCTGACCTGGAACTTGTGACAATTCTCAATTCTTGAGTGCCAGGATTACAGACATGAAACCACCTTGCCTGGCTCCTAATTTTTATGATTATAAATTCTCATTGAAAGGACTGATAGGCAATCACACTAATATTTTTTACAATGCTTTGTGAAAAGGAGATCCTTCATAAATATTTAGTAAACTCAACTGAAGATGTTCAAAATGATTTTGCTCTCTTCATGTTCAAATCAGCCTTTACAGGAGTGTAAATTCCTCTTTTATACTTGATGGTCAAAATCAGTCCAAGAAAGCTAGGCAGACAGCAGCAGCATCTGAGTTTCAAAATACAATGTTTTCTTTCCATCCCTTTCCCATCCATCTTTATTTTTTTCAGGCAGGCTGAATTTGAACTCACCACCTACCGCCTTCCTTCCTTGGCCTCCCAGGTGGTGAGAATGCAGGCCTGGGCTACCACACCTGGTTCAGAAAACTCCATCTGGTCAAACTGGATCCTATTACCCAATAATATCGTATCATAAAATGATATCATACCGATATCATTTTTTCTCCCCTTCTATTATCTTTTTGGGTCAACCTATTCTTAGTAGTAAGAATAAAGAAGAACATAATGGAATGTATAATTCTAAACCATACGAAACCCAATTAGCCATCTATGCAAACTGTTGAGAAATGCATGGCTGGCTGGCAATGTGGTAGAGATGCCCTGGTCATGCAGATTTCCTGGCAGCGCTGTCTGTCATTGCTCAAGGGCCTATGACCTCCATAGGTTACAGGAGTTAGTGAGGCACATGCTAGCTCGCTAAACCAGAAATCACATAGATGTAGCTACCGCACACGGAGAGCCCGCGCTTGACATCTGGAGACCAGTTGAAATCCCAGGCTATCTCCCCACCCACTTCACGTTAGTGGTACCAGATTCCTACCAGGAATATTTAAGTTCCACCTCTTCTAGCCCTTGTTGCGATGCTTGGACTTGATTTATGATTGCTCCCATTTTGCTGTGCTTGACGATTCTCTCCCCGTTAGACTGCGAACTCCCTGAGGTTAAGGCCAGGGAGTTTCCTGTCCATTTCTCAGCCCTTCCTTCTCCCTCACCCTGGGTAGTGAAGCTCACCAGTCAGAGGCTTTCTTCGACTGTGGCTTCCTTTGCGGCTACTCAGGCAGCGACGCCGTGGTTCATGTCTGGGTTATGCACACAGGCTCAATGCAGGGCTTTCTACAGATGTGTAAGCGTGGCTGCATATATCTGAGTGCGTTTAATAAAGAGTAATATGATCAAAAAACAAAGTGTGTGGAAGGATTATTTTTATTGACAATACTAGAAGAAAACATTCAGAAATCACTGAAGGAGCCCCCAAAAGACTTTATTCGCCTTGCACAGAAAGCCCCATTACTCTTCATTCCTGCTTCCTGTTGACCAGGAACAAGGCTACATTCATACTCAGTCCTCAGAAGTCATATTTGATGTGAGAGGATCTGTACTTCACTTCAGGCTTCTAATCTGTAAGTCAAGCGCAACTGAAATTCTCAGCTTTTTGCTTGATGAGCCTAGCATAGCAGTCAAGAGGAGCTAGGCATTATTTAGAATACACGGTCTGAATTTTGAAGGCATTTTTGGAAATCTTTCCCAGAAAAACTAGCAGAAAAGGTGAATGGTAGATTCTGTTGGCCGGGAGTGCGGAGATCTGGGACAAGGGGTTCTTATCGAATCGTTGTCAAGAGGAAGGGCTGAGAGCCAAGGCCAGCAAATCCTGTGCACACGGATTGTGAAAAGTAGGTTGTGCAAGGGTGTAAGCACGGGTTACAACTCAAGAGATCAGTCGCAGTGGCGGGCAGGCAAAGCCAACAACCCCAGAGCAGTCAATGGCAGGCCATCCCGTGGGAAGCTGGGGACAGCGGCTGCAGCCTCTGGCTGAACGGCAGGTGTTGGAACTCAAAAGGCTGTCTTCCAGAGTCTGTGATGGGGTAGACACG